TCCCGGGCGGCTCGGCGGCAGGGCGGCTCGGGTCCCGGGCGGCTCGGCGTTGGGCGGCTCGGCTCCCGGGCGGTTCGGCTGCTGGGGCGGCTCGGCCGGGAGAGGCAGGGGCGGGGCCGTCAGGTGCAGCGGCGGGTCGACCGGTGCAGCGGCGGGCCGGCAGGTGCAGCGGCGGGCCGGCAGGTGCAGCGGCGGGCCGGCAGGTGCAGCGGCGGGCCGGCAGGTGCAGCGGCGGGCCGGCAGGTGCAGCGGCGGGGCCGTAGGGTGCAGTGGCGGGCCGACCAGGTGAGGCGGCGGGCCGTAGGGTGCAGCGGCGGGCCGTAGGGTGCAGCCGCGGGCCGGCAGGTGCAGCGGCGGGGCCGTCAGGTGAAGCGGCGGGCCGCTGGATGCAGCGGCGGGCCGGCAGGTGCAGCGGCGGGCCGGCAGGAGCAGCGGCGGGTCGGCAGGAGCAGCGGCGGGGCCGTCAGGTGAGGCGGCGGGCCGTAGGGTGCAGCGGCGGGCCGTAGGGTGTAGCGGCGGGCCGGCAGGGCCGCGTCAGAGGCGGCGGCGGGGCCGCGGCAGTAGAGGCGGGGCCGCGTCAGGGGAGGCGGCGGGGCCGCGTCAGGGGAGGCTGCGGGGCCGCGTCAGGGGAGGCGGCGGGGCCGCGTCAGGGGAGGCGGCGGGGCCGCGTCAAGCAGGCAGCGGGGCCGCAATCAGGAGAGGTGGCGGGGCCGCGTCTGAGGGACAGCGGGGCCGCGAGGGAAAAGGCGACCCGATGGGTCGCTAAAAAAAAGGCGCGCCTCGGGGCGCGCTTCGGTGGGCCCTAAAAAAACGGTCCTAAGGCAGGACCCGCTCTATACCATGTAGAGTAAGGAAAACAGGAATGAAATGACTAAGTCAGAGTTGGGTACAAATACAACCCTAGAGAGCTGTACCCCATATGTGCTACCCCACTATAGCCTACAAACATGCATCAGCTATAATACTCTGACAATATCCTCATTTTTAGCAAGACACTGGAGTAGCACCTCCGCGACCTGGATGCAGTGTTTAAGCGGCTGCAGGAGAACCGACTCATCACCAAGGGCTTTAAGTGCGAGTTTTTTAAGCAGGAGTTGGAGTTTTTGGGGCACGTCATCTCGGGCGACGGCATTAAAATCGACCCGGCGAAAATCAAGACCATACAGGAGTGGAAGTTCTCGACGAACGTCATGGAGCTGCAGAGTTTCCTCCGATTCGTGAATTACGTCCGGCGGTTTGTCCCGAATCTGGCGAGGATAACCGGCTCGTTGACCGACCTGCTGCACAAGGACAAAACTTTTGTGTGGGGGGAGGAGGCAGAAGCGGCTTTCCAGGAACTCAAGAATTTCCTCGTTTCCCCCTCCTGTGCTGCGCATCGCCGACCCATCGAAGCCGTTCGAAGTTGTAACCGACGCCTCAGATTTCGCCATCGGAGCTGTGCTTCTCCAAGACTTTGGGAACGGGTTGCAGCCGATAGCCTACGAATCACGCAAGCTGCAGGCAGCTGAACGCAACTACCCAATCCACGACAAGGAGATGCTCGCCATCATACACGCGTTTAAATTATGGCGATGCTACCGGGTGGGCGCCGACGTCACTGTTCGCACGGACCACAAATCCCTACAGTAACTGCAAGCCCAACCCAACCTCAACCCACGACAGATTCGATGGCTCGGCTACATGGAGAGCCATTTCACCTACCTCATCACGTACAAAAAAGGGGCTAATAACATCGCCGACGCCCTGACCCGACCGACAGTACAATCCGCTGCAGTACTCATCACCCACTCGAACCCGCTACTTACCGGACTATTCACCCACGGCTACACGACAGACCCCTTCTTCACAACGGGAAACCATCAGCAGGCTACGACGCATAAAGGGGACTATTACCTAAAAGCCGGAACCGACCGGATTTGGGTTCCCGCTTACCGTCTGCTGCGTGAGCTCCTCATCCAGGAGATACACGATTCAAACCTCTCCGGACATTTCGGGGTCGATAAGACACAGAAACTACTGCACCGTCACTATTACTGGCCTGATTCCTCTAACGACGTGCAGCGCTATGTGTCCTCATGCAGGGTGTGCCAAGCAATGAAGTCGACATGTCAGCGACCAGCTGGATTGCTGCAACCCCTCGAGCCACCCGAACGACCGTGGCAACAAGTGACGATGGATTTTGTCACGGGGATGCCAGCTGGGCCGACAGGCAACGACGCTGTTCTTGTCGTCGTCGATCGCTTCACGAAAATGGCGCACTTCGCACCATGCCAAACGACAATCACAGCCAAAGAAACTACGCGCCTCTTCATCTCGACGGTCGTGCGACTGCACGGCATCCCTTCGGCGATCATCAGCGACCGAGACCCAAAGTTCTCATCCAAGTTCTGGAAGGAGACATGGGCGCAGTACGGCACGAAGCTACAGTTCTCATCGGCATACCACCCACAGACGGACGGTCAAACCGAGCGGACTAACCAGACCATGGAGCAGCTAATCAGGACAAATTGCCCCGACCCTGCCCGCTGGGAAGACTCGCTAGCGATGTTGGAATTCGCTTTCAACAACGCACCGTCCAGCACAACTAATCACTCCCCATTTTTCCTGAATTACGGGATGGACCCGACAGTTCCCACGACAACTACTCTCGACAATCCGGTCCCGAGGTCACAGACTTTCGTGACGGAACTTCAGGAAGTCTGAGAAAAAGCCGCAGACGCAATTCGCAAGGCGAATATTACTTCCCGCAAATACACCAACCTTCTATGACGGGAACTCGTCTTGACAACTGGGCAACTAGTGCTTCTTGACACGAAGAACCTGCACCTGCCCGGTCCATCGAAACTACGGCCACGATTTTGCGGACCGTTCAAGATTCTCAAGATGGTGACACCTGTCACCGCGAAGGTGTTGCTACCCGACGATTGGCGCGTTCATGACTCCTTCCACATCAGCCTTCTTCAGAAGTTCGTGCCAGCAACGACCGACATCGCACGTCAGCAAGCTGCCCCGACAGCACGACCTGTCCCTGAGCCGACCCTTGACCCTTCCAAAATCCTCGCTCATCGGGTCCGCCTTGACGCATGATGGTAACCCAACGTTATCCGAGTGATTGGCCCTAGAATGGGGTAGGGAGTTGTTATCTTCTCTCCCTTGGGACCTGGTGGGGCATTTTCAAACGCCCCAAATGATGGTAACCCAACGTTATCTAAGTGATTGGCCGTGGAATAGGGTAGGTATTTTCTTTCTCAGCTCTTCTCTAAGGCCCTGATGGTGTATAATCATTTCAAAAATGATGTTAACCCAACATGATCCAAGTGATTGGCCCTGGAATGAGGAAGGGGTATCTTGTCCCTCCCTAGGACCCGGGCTCTGGTGGGTCCGGTTCCCACCCGGGCTTGATCCATCCGGTCCCCACCCTGGTTTAGGGTCCGGACCCCCACCCCTATCCTGGGTGATTACCTGGTGCGACGGCGTGTTTCGGATATTGACTGCCTTTCTTAGGGGGGGGGGGGGGGTGGTGTAAGGAATTTTCCCGAATTCCTTATCGGGGTTGACTGCTTCGCGTACAACCCGATTTTCGGAGTTCGCACGTTCGGCCAATTTCAACGCTGCCGAGGCCCCTCGCGTCGCCTTCGGCATTCCCATCGCCAAACCTGCACCCAACCTCGCTCGTCCGAGGTTTCCTCCTAGCTAGACCTGCCCTACATTAGTCTGTGCACTCATTGTATTCGCTGTTGATTCAGTCACAGCCTCGTTATTAGTTTACCTGCACACTCCCCTTTACAACTCATAACAAACATGGAGTTGTTTTTCACCAGGCTTTCACTGGCTGCTATTGGCCATGAGCTTTCATCCCATGATTGGCTTGAAGTTTCCCGACAATCCACGTGGCAAAGCATGATTCCCTGTCATTTCCACCTGGACCTGCACGTTCGCAATCTTGGCTGTTGATTCGCGAACACCACAACCTGGAATTCCTTAGCTCTCGAATTGGCTGTCCAAAGTCGGTCATGGCTTGGTTGGCTCGGAGTGACCTTGAAGAAGTCGAGAGATCCGCGAAAGTGTGAATATGTGAGCAGTATCGACGGTGACAAGCCACGGCCTTCTGCATCTGACGGGAGCGACACAATCAGCAACCCCACGAACGACGGGCAGCCGCAAAAGGTTATCCAACCATAAAACACCAGCGAGCCAACTTCGGGGAGCTTTTGCGGCAGGTTCGTCATTCCGCTACGCTCTCTGCAACAGCCACCCTCTCCTCGCCTTGGGGTTGGGTCTACCCGTGGGTCCGTCTGCTCGCAGCCAGCCACCACCCTGCACGCACCCACAACCACCATGCCGCATGGCTTCCGGGGAACGCATGCATGTGATTAGCCGAGGCGTTTCTCGGTTCGGCGGGTCTGTCATGTCTGGTTGGTATGGAGCCGCGATGCCTTCACAAGTCATGGAGCCGTGGTGGTTGATCGACACCAGCGGCACCCAGGATAAACCTACTTCACCAAATGTTATCGTAATGGAACGCTACACATCCCGTCGACCGCGAATCCATTGCTCGAGCTTTGTGAATGAAATGGGGCTGTGCAGCTGACCTCCCTCACTGCAAAAGTCCGTTGGGATGAAAGCTCATTTTAGAAGTTCAACTAGAGACCGCTCTTAGTTATTTCTGTTGTGGCACTTGTCAGAGCTTGTATTCGCAGAAACTTGAGTCTGATAGGCCTGGTAATTGTTTGTACATGAATTTCGTATTTTTCTTCTACGAAAACAACATGAACCTTAAAATGGCTCGGTTTCACACCCTGGCAATAGGCCTTTGCTACTTGATATCTCTTCACCACTTGCATGCCAAGTGTCTCGCCGCAGACACCCTTCAAGTTAAAGCTGCTAGAATAGACGGTCCGAGCACCAAGGGGCTAGAGACAACAGCAATCGGCGCTTCAACGATCGATGTTCCACTGATTGACGTTCCAGCTAATGTCGTCGACGTAAACGCGTCGCCGATGGTTTTCCCCGTGAATTTAACTCATCTCAGTGAGATCAAGGAGCAGTACAACCTTTCGAACCATGGTACGCCGCGCCTACATGTGTGTCTGTTCTGTGCGTGCGGTTTGTCCGACTCGGAATTCGGCCTTGTCATCCTGCAAAATTTGCCATCTCTTCCGTGCAAATCCCAAATGACTAGTATTGTGTTCTCTCACATCCCTTTTAAGGCCGACCAAGATTGGTGATACCTTCTCAATTATTAGGTTGACTCAGGAGGTGATTTCCTCTCACATCCTTACCGCACTCGGCCAGACCGTTGCGTCCTTCTCCCCTCTCATCTGGGTATGTCCCAATCTTGTCGTTAACCCCTTCGCAGCAACTTACAACGAGGCTCATATCGACGGTCAGGTGGAGTCGCGCTCACCGGACGAGGAGTTTCAAACCGACGGTCAGTTGTCGACCCACTCATTGGACGAAGGGTCGCTGGTTGAATCCCGGCTAGCGTGCGGCGACGCAGTGGCAGCGGAAGTCGCGGAGGAGATACTGAAGGATGAGGTGGTTCGCCGGCTCGACCGGCTGGGAAACGTGAGCGACTCGGCACATTACTTGCAGCGCACGTTTCTCAGCGACGCGTCGTTGCGCGCCGCGGCGCTCGTCAGCGATTGGATGGAGGAGGCCGGCATGTACACGTGGATGGACGCGGTTGGCAACGTGCACGGCCGTGTCGACGGGTCGCATCCCGACGCGCCTGTGCTGCTGCTCGGCTCGCATCTGGTAAGCCGCAAGCCGCATCTGCCGATGAGGTGTGGTGTTGGAAGCGTGTTGTGTGAAGCGTGGTGTTCAAGACGCACCCCGACGCGCCTGTGCTGCTCCTCGGCTCGCATCTGGTGATAACGGGTGGTGGTAGCGGGCGGCTTATGAGGCGTGGTGTTAGACGCACAGCTTCACGCGCCTGTGCTACTGCTCAGCTCGCATCTGGTAAGCCGCATGGCGTGGTGTTAGACGCACGAGGGTGGGTGGCCTCATCATGATCATGGCCTGTTCGTCGCTCCACCTTCTCATCATCATCACCCCCTTCCCACACCCCCCCTTCCCTCTCGCGCTTTTCCCGTTGTCCCAGGACACGGTCGTTGACGCTGGTCGGTTCGACGGGGCATTGGGCGTAGTCACAGCCGTCGCCGCAGTAAAGCTCTTCCTCACAGCGTGCGGGGCTGCGGCGCTGCCTCGCCCCGTGGAGATCATCGCGTTCAGCGACGAGGAGGGCATGCGATTTCAGTCAACGTTCCTGGGGAGCAGGGCCATTGCTGGGACTATTTCTCCGGCCATGCTGCAGATGAAGGACAGCAAGTGAGTGCCTAAATCTGCTTGTGTGGCAAGGGTAGTCGAGAGTGAGGGCAGCAGGTGTCGCTGCCTCGCCCCGTGGAGTGGAGGTGGTGGCGTTCAGCGACGAGGAGGGCATGCGATTCCAGTCGACGTTCCTGGGCAGCAGGGCCGTCGCAGGAACACTGTCGGCTGATATGCTGCAGATGAAGGACAGTCAGTGAGTGCGTGAGGGGACATGCGGGCAGGTGAGGGCAGGTGAAGGCAGGTGAAGGGAGATGCGGGCAGTTGAGGGGTGATGGGCCACAGGTGAGTCATCGTAGTCTTCCCAACCAATTTGTTCCTCCTTGCGCTTTCTCCTCTATTGTCCCGTTCAGTGGTGTGACTATACAAGAGGCTATTGCGACGCTTCCAGCAACAGCAACTCCAACAACAAGAACATCCGCAGCAGGAAAACGAGCAGCAGCAGCAGCACCAGCAACAGCAGCAGACGGGCCAGCAGACGTGCGTACAGCTCGCTACCTCCCTGAGAGCGTATGGGGCTACGTGGAAGCACACTTAGAGCAAGGCCCGGTGTTGGAATCCCTAGAGCAGCCTCTGGGGGTGGTGCTGGGGATAGCAGGGCAGACGCGGGCGGAGGTGACAGTAGAGGGCGAGCAGGGGCACGCGGGGACTGTGCCTATGCGGCTTAGGAGGGACGCTGTGGCTGGCGCTGCTGCTGCTGTTGTGGCTGTGGAGTCTGTTTGCCTGGGGATATTGAGAGAGGAAGAGGAGGAGGAAGGGTTGGGAGGGAGAGACTGGAGTGGTGGTAACAGCAGCAGCAGCAGCAGTGGGAGTGAGGGAGGGAGCGGGGCAGGCAGTGGGCTGGTGTGCACGGTGGGGAAGGTGGTGGCATGGCCGGGGGAGAGCAACGTGATAGCAGGGAGCGTGGCGTTCACTCTGGACGTGCGGGCGCGGAGCAACGGTGTGAGGCTCGCTGCTGTGGCGGGGATCGAGAGGGAGATAGGGCGCATCTGCAGTGACCGAGGGCTGTCATGCCGGTTTGCAGTGAAGGTGGGTTATTTATGGTTGCAGCATACTGTAGGATGTGGGGTCAGTTCTATTCTTGAGGCGATTCAATAAGAGAATTTCCTCAAGACGTCTCAAAAGCGAAGGTGAGCTTTTGTATGTGAGCAACGTAGTGTTGGGAAAGGTTGTGGGGTCGGGCTCGGCGTGTAGAGGGGCGTTTACTGTGGGCGTGGCCTTAACTGTAGAGGGGCGCAGGGCAAGATCGTGAGGCACAGTGAACTTGATCAAGCTGTGCCCGTCAAATACCTCACTTATCCCCATCCACCTTTCACATTACTTTCATCGCCTTCTCTTCGTCCCCGTCGGCTTCCCTCCAGCATCAAGCTGACACCGTGGACTGCTCGCCTCCCCTCGTCTCCATGCTTCACCAGGCTGCCCTCAGCGCCTTCACTGCTTCCCTTCCCTTATTCCCTTTTGTTCTTCTCTTCCCTTCGTCCCCTTCCCTCTCACTCCAGCATCAAGCTGACACAGTGGACTGCTCGCCTCCCCTCGTCTCCATGCTACACCAGGCAGCAGTTACTGCCCTCACTGCTACTACACACCACACCATTCTCAGTAGCGCCCTCGCTGCCTCGCACCAAACCCGAATAGCCGCTGCTGTTGTTGGTACTGATACTGCTCCTGCGCATGATGCTGCTGTTGCATCTGACGCTGCTGGGTTCCAGGGAGCCACAGCTGGCAGCAGCAGTGGCAGCAAGAACACGTGTGAAGCGGCATATGGGTGCAGGAAGCACGAGGGTGGGGAGCAAGGGCAGAGAGAGCAACAAGAAGAGCAAGGGGGGCAAGGGCAGCACGTTCCTCGGCTTGTGAGCGGCGCAGGACATGATGCCATGGCAATGGCAGATCTCACCCAGGTGAGGGATGCTGAGGGTTACTGTGGGTTGCGGAGAGTTGCTGGGCGTGGGTGCAGGTTTTGTGCTGGTTTGAGTGGTGCATCCTCCTGTGAAATGAAGTGGTGAGTTTCCTCGGCTTGTCAGCGGGGCCGGACATGATGCCATGGTGGCGGCAGATCTCACCGGGTGAGGGATGGTAGTGAAGGTTGGTGAGGGGTGGTGGGGGGTGGTGAGGGTAGTACGTATGTTTGGATGGTATACCCGCCTGTGAAACATGGGGCTCCGTGGCTTGTGAGCGGGGCGGCCCAACATTGTTACAGGCTCCATTGTTGTTTTCTTACACTGGTGTTTCCTGGGTGTGAGTGTGCTTGTCGGGTGCAGGTTGCGATGCTATTCGTGCGATGTCGAGGGGGTGTGAGTCATCGCCCGGATGAGTTTGTAAACCCACACGACCTCCACATGGCGTCTACTGCTATCTTTAGATTGCTTATATTAATGCCTTAAATGCAGTCATTGTGAAACCTGAAACCGGATATTGCATACAATGTATATAAGCTTACATTACACAACTATTGTTGATACTCCTTCACTTTCCGTAAAACTTGTGGCTCATAACCGCCACGCGCACTTCTCACAAGATGTGCTTGTGTGCGTTACATTCAATGGAGTCAATGTAATTTGGTAAATACTTAAATACCCACCTTGCAGTAGCCTTTCAGTCAAGTGCGCTGGAGTTTGCGGGCGCACAAGTGCAACGAGCGAGCAAGCGAGAATTGCACAATCGAAGCAAAACAGTACAAATGAGCGAAGGATTGAACGAGAACTAAATAGCTGTTACGAGTGCAATTGAGTAAATGAACGAGAATTGCACTATCGAAGCAAGAATCCAATGAGCGAAGGCATGAGCGAAGAATATATAGCGAAACTACAGTGGTAACGGTAATGGACTGTGGTTGTCGCGTGACGGGCCTGGGACTGAGGTTTGGGAAAGTGTCGAAGCGGAGGCCCGGAGCGCGGGTTACCAGCCGAGCCGTGAGGTTGGGGTGCGATGTGCCAAATTGGCGGGCTGATTGTCGATGCGAGGGTCGCGAGTGGTAACGGTGCTGACTGTGGTGCTATAGTGATGTACGCGTTGAGCAGGGATGCGAAGTAAGGAAAAGTGATTTTCCTTACACTACCCCCCCTCCTAAGGAGGTCCTCCTTACGAAAGTGCGTGGACGTCCCTGAAGTGTCGGCTGCGCAGATATTCGGTGAGAATAGGGTGGTTTTCGATTCTGTCCAGGGGAACCCAATTGTCTTCGGTGGGTGTACAGTCTTTCCAGCGGATCAGGAACTCGATCTTTCGGGCTCCTCGTGGGTCACGAACTCTGTGGCTCAGGATTTTTTCGGGGGTGATGATTGGTTCGGTTGGCGGTCGTGCCATGCTGGCTGGGCGATTTCGTGGGAGTTGGCTTGTGGATGGGACGTAGGGGCGAAGCAGGCTGACGTGGAACGAGGGGCTGACGTACCAGTATGCAGGTTGGAGGAGGTGGGCGGTGACGGGTGTTATCATGTGGCTGATACGAAATGACCCACAGTATCGCGGGCGGAGTTTGGGTGTGATGGGCAGTCGGAGGTTCTGGGTGTCGAGTAAAACTAGGTCGTCGGGCTGGTAAGTGGCAGGTCTGCGGTGGCGGTCGGCGTTGCGTTTAGCGATGATGTTCAATTTTTTGATTGCGTCTGCTGCCCTGGTCCGTGCCGCTTGCAGAATTTCAGCGAACTGTTGCGCGCGTGGAACCGGGTTGTCGGGATTCGGGGTCATGGGTGTGGGAGTACGACGGCTTATGCCAGCTATGCTTGCTTGCCTTTACTTTGTCATGCTATTTCCAGCATAGGATAATCATATGCATGCATGAATTGCTTGATTTCCTAGGCTAGGTGCTTTCCTATATTTTATTATAGTTATAGCACCGAGCTAGGTTGCGTGCACCGAATTCTGGCTTTTCGGTTGCCACCGAATTGCCTTCTACCGAATTTGGCAAGGATCTGTTCGGGACGCTTCGCGACCCGCGGAACCTTCGCGTAACACCTGGTTACGGGGCCTTGTGTCGAGCCTATATATAGCCTCGTGTTGTACCCAGGTGATCATTCAATTCAATTTGAATCATATTTTCTGAGCTCGATCCCAGATCCTCACACTTGGTAATCAGAGCGGGTTTACACGCGAGGTCTTCAACCGCTTAGTTCCGGCCTTTAAAAACCGCGGGGGCGACGACGAAAGCGCCGATACGGGTATGTAAAACCAGTTCCGCGCAATTTTTCTAAGTCCCCCTCAATTCGGTTTTCGAACACTCCTCAGATTTACTGGTGGAAAGGTTGGAGTTTCGACCGTTCGATCGAGTTTCATCTCAACGGCCTAGAGAATTTCACCCAAACAAGTTGGAATTTGGAGCGTCGGATCGATTTTCTCCTCAACGGCCAAGATCGGACGCGAATTTCGCTTGAGGGAGATTTACGCAACCTACAGAATTCGCGCTAGTCGATTCTACAGTCAATTTGACTCGCAGTAAGTCGACCAGCACCTAGAATTCGATTATTTTCGTCGCGCATCTTCCTATAAATCGCCAAATGGAGGGAAAAAAGAGATATTTCAGTACAGAAAATCGCGGAGTTACGTGCTGAGCATAAGCAAATACGTGCAGCGCTCCCACGACTCGAAAAACTCCTTGCGAACCAGTCGGCAACCGCCACACCAGCAGCGACAACAGTAGCAGCAGCAGCAGCAGCGGCTACACCGACAATTCTACATGCGACAACGGCAGCAACTACAGTTAACCTCGAAGCAGTGAAGCTGAGGCTACCGGAGGCGTTCGATCCTACAGTAAAAAGGAACGACGTTCCTCGATTTGTAGCTGAACTTGAAATCTACTTCGAAGCCGTTAGATGCACGACCCCGACAAAAGACGCAATGCGCATACGGCTCGCAGCAACACTGTTACGAGGCCCAGCTCTAGAGTGAATCAACAACAGAATAGTCCAAGGCGAGCGGACGTGGGCGCAGTTTCTGGCAGCACTGATCGAACAGTTCGACACGTTGAACAGTAGCTACTACGGAACACGACACAACAAGCCAACTAGTGGCATGGGGCGATTGGCACCACCCACGACTGCCGACCCGATGGAGAACGACGAGGGCGGTGTGGAGCAGCGGCTAGCAAATAATGAGACGTGCAAATTTTGCGGCGCTACAGGACATCGTATCTTGGCGTGTTGGAAAATGAAGAGAAGGTGTGCGGAGCTGAAGGAGAAGAACAGTGCGGCACCCCCGAAGCAGAAAACGGACAACGTGACAACTTCGGAGAGGGCGAAAAAAGGAGAATATGGTGGCGCAAATTTAAAACATCACGACCAGCCGGCACCAGGGGAAATCGCCGAGACTAATGGAGGATCCGCGAAACAAGACCCTGCACCGACCGGGAAACTCCAGCCGTATACCCCGACAAGTAAGAATATAACTTCTTGTGGGTTTCAAGCCTTTATTAAGGGAGAGTCAGAAATTAAACCGGTACCGGGTATTATGGGGACCCTACTCCAGAGCGCTAATACGGGTCGAGCGTTCCGAGGAGTTAATATTCTCTCCCAGCAGCACTGTTTAAAGGCTCCCTGTTCCCCACAGATGAAGCCTACACAGCTGCAAAGGCTTAGTGGAAGGTTCCAGGCCCAAGAGAAGCCGAATCGGCCTCGGATAAATCCTTCTAACCTTTCTCAGTTGAAAACTGATACTGAAGCTGCATCTTTGAGCGCAGGACCTAGGGATAACATATTCGACGTACCCTACGATCCTATAAGCGATACCATCTACGGATACTCGGAGCAGCAGCAACCACTAGTACTCGAGGTGATCTGCAACGGGCGTCACCTCCAGGCCCTGGTGGACAGTGGTGCGTCCCACTCGGTGTGCGACCGCGGGACATTTCGGGAGCAACAAGACGTTAGCAGGGATAGCGAAGTATTACTACTGGCCCGGGATGGCAGCAGACGTGCAGCAGTTCGTCACCTCTTGCGACACGTGCCAGCGGATGAAGAGCAGCAAGCAGACAAAAGCAGGGTTACTTCAGCCTCTACCCGTACCGGAGCAGCCATGGCAGGTCGTTAGCCTCGACTTCATCACAGGACTTCCTTCGACCTCACGGGGACATGATTCCATCCTCGTGGTGATCGATAAGTTCTCCAAAATGGGTCACTTCATACCGACCAACGCCACAGCTACAGCTGAAGCAACTGCTCGACTCTTCTTCGACCGCATCATCACCATCCACGGCATCCCCGCTACACTCATCTCAGACAGAGACCCCAAATTCACGAGTAAGTTCTGGAAGGAGCTCATGGGACGGTTGGGGACAAAGCTTGCAATGTCTTCAGTATACCTCCCCTAGACTGACGGACAGACAGAGCGACTCAATCAAGTGGTTGAACAGTTACTTTGCACAGCTTGCAAGGACGACGTCAGCCACTGGGACACACAGTTACCAACCCTAGAGTTCGCTTACAACAACGCATCACATGCGACCACAGGGAAAACTCCTTTCTTCCTGTGTTACGGACGGGAACCACTCACACCACAGCAGCCAACTACACCGGCACACGTCCAAGCCGCACATGACTTCGTCACCACCATGCAGCAGCTATGGGAGAAGACTCAGCGACGTCTCACCACGATGCAGACCTCCCAGAAGCACTATGCCGATCGACAGCGACGTGATCACTCAGTAGCAGTCGGAGATCAGGTGCTTCTTGACACGCGTAACTTGAACCTGTCTCACCTCCCATCCAAACTCCGGCCTCGCTTCTGTGGTCCTTTTCTCGTTGAGGCACAGGTGACACTAGTTACATTCCGCTTGCGCTTACAAGATACATGGAAGCTTCACAACGCTTTCCATGTCCAGCTACTGAAGCCCTACAAGGACCCCAACCAACAGTTCCAGGGACGGCAACTACCGCCACCACCACCTGTTCTCATACAGGATGAACCCGAGTACGAGATCGAGCGCGTTCTCTCTCATCGGCGCCGCGGTGGCAAGAATCTCGAGTTCCTGATACGATGGAAGGGATACGACCCCACTGAGGACAGTTGGGTTGCAGAAGCTGATATGGGCAACGCACGCCGTGCTCTCAAGGACTATCTTGTCAAGCAGGGTGTATCTCACGCCACCCAGCTTTGAGGGGGGGACGTGTGAGAGTACGACGGCTTATGCCAGCTATGCTTGCTTGCCTTTACTTTATCATGCTATTTCTAGCATAGGATAATCATATGCATGCATGAATTGCTTGATTTCCTAGGCTAGGTGCTTTCCTATATTTTATTATAGTTATAGCACCGAGCTAGGTTGCGTGCACCGAATTCTGGCTTTTCGGTTGCCACCGAATTGCCTTCTACCGAATTCGGTAAGGATCTGTTCGGGACGCTTTGCGACCCGCGGAACCTTCGCGTAACACCTGGTTACGGGGCCTTGTGTCGAGCCTAT